CAGACCTGGGAATCATTAACACACACAGGTGATAAATGAGGCCATGGGAAAGAATGAAATCCATGGAAAGGCTACAAAGAGAAAAGGATGCATAGCATATCCTGAGAAACTTCAAATATTTAAAAGCTACAGAACAATGAACAAAGAGAGGCTAAGAAAAATCAAGGATCAAAGAAAACAAGAAAGTACTGTCTCATCCCCAAAAAGATGAAATACTTAAGTAAATCATATGCTACCACACTATACAACTGTTGGCACAATATGCAATATAATTAACTTAAAAATTATAGACACAAATTACATAACTGTGAAATTTTTTAAAATATATACATGATCATATTTTTAAAAATTCATTAAAACAAGAATATATTAAAATCATAAAAGATATTATGATTATATTAGAAAAAAAGTTGTTTTTTCTTTTGACCATCTCAAATTTCTTTATTAAGAAAAAAGCAAAAGATAATATTTTTAAAACTTGCAAAGACTGGCATTTAAGGAAACCTGAACAACATGAACTACTGCTAGCTACCATTGCTTCCCATAAATATCTTATTTTCAACCAACCTGTCTCCCCATTCTTACTTGATCCCAAGTAAAAGCTTTGCAAAAGCTACTATCCCGAATTGGAATGTTGTCTTCCTCTTATTTGCTTTCCTAAACCTCAGCTAATCCTTAAAGTCCAACATATTTCTCATTTTGTAAAGCTTACCCCAACCCTCCTCCCCACAGTAAGCTTTCACCATGTGAGCATCTATAGCACTTGTCTGTAGTGTTTACTTGGCACTTAGGGAAACGTTGGCAAGATGCCTTGCACAGAGTAATGCTTTAGAGTGCTATGGGACACATTGTCTATGTACTCTATCCATACAGGCAATGTTCTGCCTAAAGAAAAGGAGTATCATAACTGCAATGGCACTCTATGCTTGTGCAGATATATTTCTCAATCGTAAAAATATGATGATCAGACTATAGAAGATACAACTGTCAGAATTCAGAAAGAAGTAAATGTTGCTAGAATCCCTGAAACGAATCTTCTGTATTATACCAACTTAATACTGAAATATTTTTTAAAACTTTTCACACAGAGTATCTTTAAAGTGCACCCAACTTGAAATTTATCTTTTATCTGGAAAGTGTCTTCTGATATATTTTAAAGTATTCATTCTAAAAGAAAAGGCTGACTTCAGGGAGGCAGTAAAAGAAAATTTAATGTCCTTTGGAAGAAGGATTAACAAAACAACAAAAAGGAAAAAATCTAAGATCAAGCAGAAGATTCACATGTGGTCTTACACTGGCTTTAAATTTTTACTTCTATTAAAAAAAAGTGAACATTTTGTAAGAAAAGGAATATCCATAAGTTATCAAAAACCCTGAAAGCCTATCGTCATCCTATAATTTAATAATTAAAATGAAAATGTTAATAACTTAAAGATGAAATTTCTTCAATGTGAGGATAAAAGAGACAAACAAGAGACCAGACGGTATCAAAGATGACAGTATTAAAGAAATAAGAATTAGAAATGTGAGTTAATAACATATTGAAAGACGTAACTAAGAAGGACTCCCTTGCCAACAAAATCACAAATCATTTGGGATAGATTTTATATGTCTAGCTAAATAAGGACATTTCAGTGATGTTACTGTTTGCCATGATAAGTTGCCCTTCACCTCATTCCAAGTTTTTCAATCTAATGAAGACAATATCAAATATGCTGGCACTACATATAAAAACAGCTAGCTGCTTCACCATCTTAACCAGGCTTCACACACCCTTTCTACTTTACAATTTTAATTACAGGCAGAAATCACTACTGAGTGCTGTACTGAGTTCTGTTTAATGTACTTTCTTCTATATACACTAATTTATAGTTTTAAAACTAAGATATTTTTAAACTCAGTACACTAGAAATTCATGCCTCATATATTTTACAGAATTTCCATTAGTCTGCCATATAATTACCTGGGCATAGAACATCTGTGTTATAAAACAGAACTACTAATTTTTATGATAGGTTTTCATCTAAATTAATCACTTCAAATCTACTGAAGGTGAGATCTGGAAACATAACCCCAGTTCTAGGCTTCAAAACTCACCATTCTTAAAGAAATTATCACTAACTTGACTATCTTACTATAATAGTGTAATATGGGTAAAGTAAAAAATAATGTTAAATATATGAATTCCAAAAAAAGAATCCCTTGGCCGGAGATTTAGCTCAAGGGCTCAAGTACTTGTCTGGTAAGCATGAGATTGTGAATGCAAACCCCGTTATAAAAACAAAAAATAACTTACTGTCTAATTCATTATTACTGAACAAAATATAACTCTACCAACCTGAATAATATGTAGTTTATGTTATCATTATAAGTAATTAACCTAAGGGATATCAGAATTAGAAGGAGCATATTTGCCTCTATATTCTGTCAACTCTCTCCTACTCAGTAGTGGTAGAACAGAAGTCATCTGGCTAGTATATGTGAAAGCATACTTAAGAACACCACCTTTGGGGCTGGGGATTTAGCTCAGCGGCATAAGCGCCTGCCTTGCAAGCAGGCAGTTGTGAGTTTGATCCCTGGTACCGATAAAAAGGAAAAAGACAAAAAAAATTAAAAAAAAAAAAAGAACACCACCTTTCCTTTGCTAACAAACCTAAATTTAAATTTGAATAGTCAAGGTTACAGACAATGATTTTCAAAATAATAATTTTAAAACCATCTTTGTAACTTTGTACTACTTTTCTGTATTTGACAAATTAAGTCCTGTATTTTGGAATTCTACTGATAACACAATAGTTAAATATCACCTCAACTCTCATGGTAAAAACAATGAAAGGGGAAAGAGCACTAAAATGTCTGAATATATTCAAAAATATCAAGTAAATACTGGCAAATAAAGTGAAAAACAACCCATGCTTTTGGAGAAGTAAAGTACTATGCAATTTTAACACTTCTGATCTATGCAAGCTAAAAGGAAGAATAAACTCTCAAAAGAACTGGGTTAAAATGACATTAAGTTTTTTGGTGAGAGAGGGAAGGGAAAGGACTTAATCTTTGTGACATGTAATTTTCACTTCAGAATAATCTATAAATCATAACAGAAGAAGGAAAACTCAAAACTGTTCAACGCACCAAAGAAAGAACAAGCAGCACCTAGTCTGGTAACTTCGGCTTTTAATTCCCAGGTTACCAATATCTCTACAGACAGCTACTCAATCAATAAACATATATAGTTACTATAGTTTTGTTTTATTTAGTTTTGTTTAATCTAAGCTTAGGTACAAAAAACAAGTTATTAAAATAATCAGAAATGTTCTAAGCAATTGGTCTTTAAACAAAACACTTGGGTGTACAAACTGCATTGATAGTGATGATCTAGCAAAGAAAAGATGAGGATAAACTATTAAGTACTATCTCCTCATAAGACAACTCAAATTCCCAATGTGGAACGGTGTTGTTAAAGATTATATTCTACCTTTATCTTCTGGGATTTTTGAAGCAAATTGTTTTACCCAATTACATACATCCAAAAATTTCAATTAATAAAAATCTTCATGAGAAAATGATTTTTAAATCACAAAAGGCCAAAGGACAAGAAATTGAAGACTTCAGACAGTAGCTAAGAAAGAATACAACGTGGGGATGGCTTTATCAAGGTGGGTGAAGCTGAGGATGGCAGAATCCCTTCCCTGCTGTAACGGCTATATGAAAACCACCAGCAGTCTGTGACTGGCCTGGGCGCACAGTAAACAGAAGGGAAAGCCTCACATAGAAAGCTGAATGGCCCAAAGAAACCCTAAGTGGTGGTAAGAGCCTAAAGGCACATGCAGGTATGCATCTTTTATATTGGATGTGATACACTTACATGGCCCCTGTTGAATCTCTTGGGGACCAACAGTAAAGCAAGTTTAGAACTTCAAATCTTGAGACATCTATAGCAAGATGCTGATCCAATGTGGCTCCAAATATCTTCTGTTTTCCTGGCTCACCTGAAGAGGAAAAAACACTACAGAGGATGTGGGAACTGAATTTCTTTACGTAGTTTCTTCTAGAGCAACTGTCTGAAAGTTTTGGCCCACTCCTTCATGAAGTCTGGAGATGAAACACTTGAAGGACTAGTAAAAACCAATTCAAATGAAAGGGTGGAGTGAGACATCTAAAAGGGAACAGGAGAGCGAGCTGAGGGCAAAGGGCTTCTAATCCTTTCTGGGAGAGGCAGAGAAAGGAGAGGGGAAAAAATGCACAGATGTTTCTCCCTCACTCCCTCACCCCAACAGTTACTGAAACTTCATGAAGCACCTAAGCTTTTGATCACAACTAGGGAGTGAATCAGCAATATTACATGGAAGGCTTAGCGTTTTGTCAAGTCTCCCTCCCCTGGCTCTACGGCATTATTAAGCAGCAGGGAGGCCTTTCAGATAATACTTTTTCCTAAGAAAAGATTACGGTGGAATTCAGCTTGAAACAATAAAGGAAGAGAAAAATAAATTGCATGTATACAAAAATAAAAGTCACATGACAATATACCATTTTGACAATGTTTATCTAATATTGTTTTCTAAAAGGGGTGGGACAGATTTCATAAAATAAATCAGAACCAAAAAAAAAAAAAAAGCTTCCAAATAGAAAATATTTTTTAACTAAGCAACAAACTGCATGTTTTATCCTTCTATATTACCCCTAAGAAGATAGTTTCTAAGAAAGTATGATTAATAGGAGCAAGTGTGATGTATACTATAACACAAAAAGTATGAAATTATAATTCATTTTAACTATTTTTAATTTTTAAATTTTTTTCAAACATTTTATCTAAATTTTATATCACTATAATTATTCTCCAGCATTCATGTAAGTCTAAGACATAAAACAATTTTCTTCCCAAATACATTTCACTTTAACCAGAAAACACTTAAACTCTGTCTGGTAAAAATAATAATAATAATAATACTGTACCAGAAATATTTTGAAAAATGCAGTTGGAAAATGAATTAGATCCTTACCTGACGTGGCTGTTCATTCATTCGTTGTGGGTCTGATTTCACTTTATTACTAGGATGGTTTGTGACTTTGGTTACTGGTTGTTTGAAAATTGATGCTGTTTGTCTAATTGGCAATGTTGTATTCAAGTCTGGTTTACCCTGTGAATATAAGTATTTTCATTAGTATTATATGTAAACACAATTAGATGAAATTTTTAATTCAATATAAATTGGATTACTCAAAATTCTCAATCCATCACATTTTAGAAGTACATTTTAAGCACTTCATGAGATAAGACATGCAGAATTTTTGCTTATAACAAATGTGTACTTTTAAGCATAAGAAAATTCTCTGCATAAAATTTGTAATTAATTTGATCAGCAAAGTACTAAAGACTCTTGTATGACTAAATGTGTTAGAAAAAGAGAATTTTAAGTACAACAATCAAGACAGCAGTAATTTCTACACTCTGAAAGTACAGAAAATATTGAGATTAAATATTTACGAGCATTAACCAGATCACCAGTTGAGGCCAGGGTTACATAAAATCACTAAATTAATTTCCTTTCATCACACAAAATGTTATATAAATCAATAGCTAACTCTAGCAAATATAACTTAGTTTAGAAAACTTGGATAAAATAAGGAGGTAGATTCAATGTGCCTAATATGAAAATTCAAAAATTTCTGAGTACCGGCACAACTAATTCCACAGCTGGTCTTAAGTGACAGGTTCACCAAAAATACTGTATAAAATTATCTTCAGCATAATTAAAAAAGGTGTATATGAAACATGAACATTATGGGTAGTCTTCAGTCCCAAATGAATATATTATATATATTCAGACATTCTAAAAAATAATAGTAAATCCAAAATGCTCCTGGTCACAAGCATTTTGAACAAAGAATAATTAACTTGTATTTGATATTTCATTATATAGCACATATAATGTTTTTACAGAAATTTTATAGAAATTGTGCATTCAGGATTCAGGTACAGTTTTATAGAAATTTTAAATTGAAGCTTCAGTAAGCCAGGTAACACATGTATCAAGTTTTAATCAACCAGCAAATAAAGTGTAAGATATGTCTTAGCAAGGGTAAAATGTGGCATAGAATTGCTTTTAAATGCATTTGCAATACCTCAACCACCAAAAAAAGGAAAAAAAAAAAAAAAAAACCAACTCAATCACTGTGTACCTAGATTCTGGCCAGGAAAAAAAAGTCAAGTTTATCTGAACATAGAACTGGCACTTTTGATATAGGAAAAATATTTGATATATTTGAAACATCTGACATTTTTAATCTCCAGGTAAAAATTATAATGACAACTTCCATACACCTAAACAATGGTTCTCAACTCCAAGCATGTATCAGAATCACACTAGGACTTGGTAAAGCATTGCACTGGATCTCACCTCCAGAGACTCTATTTAGGTGGAGTCCAGGAAACTGCCTCTTTGAAGGTTTCCCATGATGTTAATGCTGATGTAGAGACCACATTTTGAGACCTATAGCTCTACAGAGTGCTGATCGGTGGCAAGTGGGACCAAGCCTAACCAACAGATGTTGTTCACTTTTTAGTAATTAAGCCAACATCTAAAAGAGTTCACATAATGCTAGCTGCTGTCAAATACTGAAAAATGCAGACACTGCAGTTGCTTCAGCAATGGCTGCCCACTGGAAGAGCCAGGCTCTCCTGCAGCATTCCATAGCAACACAGGCTTGCATTACCCATCTGGGCCCTGTGGGCATGGAGCTAATAAACTTGCTTCAACAGTATTAGCATGTCTCGAAAGGTAAGCATTGTATTATTTTGGCAATTACTATAATTACAGTACTACTTGAATCCACTATTAAGTCTACCCTCACTCTACCCCTCTGCCCACTTTTTTAAAAATCTTCGGTAAAGGGGGCTGGGGATTTAGCTCAGTGGCATAAGTACCTGCCTTGCAAGTGTGTGGACCCAAGTTTGATCCCTGGTACCGATTTAAAAAAAAAAAAAAAAAAAAATCTTCGGTATGTACTGAGAATTGTGACTAACAGTACTATTTCCCTGACTGGTACTTTTATGGTTTTTCAAAAAACAATCCATAAATGTACAAATTTAAGTGACAGACTTCCATGTAACTATCTAAGAATGCCATCTCTAAAAAATGGAAGTCCCAACAGTGTGCATTTTAAAAAGCTTGCTTGGTAATTCTGTGCTGCACAGGTTTAGACATCTCTGATTTGTGATATATAGAACATTCTGAGTCCTTAAACAATATCACCCAAACTATAGTCAATACAGAACTGTAGAAACACACATAAATGCTTAAGGAAAGACGCTGCTCATTAGATACAATCACATGTCACTAAAAAATAACATGTTTCATATATATAGCTGGGGCTTGAATCCAAGGCCATCACACTTACCTATCTATCACCTTTTGTTTTGAAACAAAGCCTCATCAAGTGGCTAAATTGCCCAGTATGGTCTCAAACTCATGATCCTCCTGCCTTTGCTTCCCCAAGTGCTAGAATTATAAGCATGCACCACCACAACCGGCCACTTTTAATTTTTTTTAATTTTTATTACTCTTCTTACTAGAACAAAGGTGCTATCAGTAGACGCAGAAGTGTATTATATCTATTTGCACAAGCAAATTTATTCAAGCCCAAAATAATCACTGTTGCAAAGACAACTGAAGACAGCAGGGTTATTCTAAAAAGAATCCTGAATGCACAAAGTATAGAACAGTAGAAATACAATGGGTGAGCCTAAAGTTTTTTAACTTCTAAGTTGAGTGCAATAAAGAAAAATCAGGAGGAAAAGTTCCCTCAACTATTTAAGATACACAGGTTGTTGTCTAATGGTAGTTCATTCCCCACTGGCAGAGTAAAAGAGACATGAATTCCAAGAGTGTGCTGTATTGTTTCTTATTCAAATTTCAGTATTTTTTGCTTTTAAACAGCCTACAAGTATGAGAAATAATTTTTTACTGATTAATTTTGGATTCCAAAACAGTATAATTCAAAGTTGAGTAAGCTGTAAAGCTGGACTAACTGGTTTTCCCAGAAGCTGTCATAAAAACGGTAAATTATCACTGTCTTCTGAGGACTGCCAGTCACTGTTAATTCATGCCCAGTTGCATGCCTGAGTTTTTAAAACTATCAATCTGCCACAAACTTAGGAGTTGAAAAGTCATTCACGTATTTGAAGTTTATTTCAATGTAAAAAAAAAAATGAAGTTTTTTATATTACAAAATTAAACTGCCAAATACTCACTATGGTATTAGAAATGTTTGAAACTTTTGACAAATCTTGGCAGTACACAGGCTGGACCGTCAGTCAGAATTTAATGAATTTTATAAAAGGTATGGTAGGCTTAAAGTATTTAATTTTGAGGGTCTTCAATCTAGTTGAGGAGAGTATAAATTTTATTTTTAAAGTTTTTTTCTTCCCATCTCAGGATGTAGCTCAGTGGCAATCCGCTAGCATGTACAAAGCCTTGGGTTTAATCCCAGCATGAGGGGAAAATAATCTGCTCTATTTGATAAATATGTAAGATGGCTCTTTATATATGTACAAAGGACAGATGTAAAATTAAAAATTATTTTTTAAAAACAAAATCAAAAAAAGAGAAATGTCTTTTTGAAGAGTAATCTTAATACCAAAGCTAATCATTACATGTAAATGTAAGTGCCAGGGCCCTAGATCAGGAGAACATTAACTACATAGCCATCCTAAGAAAGGAGGGAGCAATTGGGGGACAACTCAATAAAAATCTGAAAGGGACTAAGCCAATGGAATCTCATCATTGAACAATCAATCATCAGCCTAATTTGATGCAGAGTAACTAAAGAGGAGGTTGAAGAACATGTATGACAATCCAGTGGTTATCAAGTATTTCTTATATTCCCACCAAGAGAATCTTACAAATATACACCACTTACCTGAATTTGAAAGCTGGCATCAAGACTTCATATTTTATTTAATGTCATTATAAAGGCTGCACGTATCAGAAGTGCTTAAATATTGATACTTTCATTATTACCTTAAAATGCATCTAACAGAATCTAAATATTTTCTCTATCACTCATATGAGCAAACGCTTCAGTAGTAATAATTTTATTTCACTACTTTTTCTTTGAATTTCATTCCCACATAGCAATGTTCCCTATTTTACACTTGAAAATCTGTGGTACACTAAAAATGTTTAAAATTTCAGTGATCACAAGGCTTACAGATAAAAAATTCATTCCTTCTGGTTTCTTGTAATTATTGATATATAAGCCACTAAAGAACATTTCAAATTTTCATTGACTATAAGTGAATATTTGCATATGTGTATATAACTTTTTTTAAAGTCTTTTGTTGGTTTTGGTGATTTTCTGAGGTTTGATGGAGGGTTGTTTTTATTTTTGTAACATGTTCTCCTTATATTGCCTTGGATTGTCTTGAAATCTGGTCTCAAGGAATCCTACAACTTTAGCCATCCAAGCTGGAACCCTACAAATATGTCACTATGTCCAGCTTAAAATTTTTCAAAGTAACTTTGTATATTAGATAGCATTTCAAATCACTTGAATGGCACAAGAATTAGCACCAATTCTATTTCACTCTGCATTTTTATAGATGTAGTTGTGAAAAGCCTTATTCACATTAAAGAGCAGAATGAGTTTTGTCACTCAAATCTCTGAACTAATTTTTAGTTAAAAATTTCAGTAACACACCAGAAATTTTTAATAATCAGTTGACATCTACATATTCTAAATTTTTGAAAGCAGAGTTGTACTTAACAGTTGCGAAGTTATCATTTTCTCAATCCAATATTCCAAACAGAACCTTTATTAGAAATCAAACATTTTGTACCATGGCAATACTGCAGATAAGTGAAAAATGTGTTTGTGTGCTAAATGAGGACTTTATGATTATGACAAGAGAAAAATAACACGTACCTCTATCACTGGTACACAGGATATGTGTACTATATATGGATCTTAAATGGCATTTTAGAATAAATTCTTTAAAATCATCCATGTCAAATTTTCACCCAGCTGTTTGAATATGCATTTTAACATATATTCTAAGTACCGCTTTTTTAAGCCTTGTTTTGAAAAAAAGCAGTGTGACAACTCCACATTGTATATATTTTATGACCCAATCCCAGAG